GAGCGAGTGGGTGGGTGGGTGAGTGAGTGGTGAGTGAGTGAGTGGTGAGTGGTGAGTGAGGAATTCCTCACCTGATATCCCAGAAGGTGGCTATGGGGGCATCAGGATTCCACAGTTCAATGATCTCCGGCTGATGGAGCACCAACAGGGCCTAGGCAGAGCACATACTCACCACTACACTCACCACTCACTCACCACTCACTCACCACACACTCACCACTCACTCACCACTCACTCACCACACACTCACTCACCACACACTCACTACTCACTCACTCACACTCACCTAGCCACTCACTGCCTCCTCACCACCATCAGTGTGTGTTTGTGTCACTGTGTGTGTGTCTGTGTGTCACTCTGTGTGTTACTGTGTGTCACTGTGTGTGTCACTGTGTGTGTGTGTTACTGTGTGTGTGTGTGTCTGGTAAAACAACCCCCTACCTTCTCGCGGTGCCGGACAGGCAACTCTGTCGTGGACAGTGCTGTGGGGGGAGGGCCAATTCCGATTGGCTCCTCCCCTCATGGCGTCTGTGACCACCACAGGGGCTAAACGGGGGCTCTGGACGGGTGCGAGGGGCTGGTAACCCCTCCACCTTCAATTAATTACCACGAAACCACGACTGAAATATGTAACTAATAAGCTTGTGCCGGAGGCCCCGGGGGGACAGGCGTCTATGACGTCTCCTGGCCAAACCCCAATTGGCGGAGCCAGGAGATTGAATCTCTACCCTCGGGGCTACTCCAGAAACAACGAAAAGCCACTACGGGTGGCCACGTGGAATGTTCGAACGCTCACTGCGGAGGAGAGGCTGCCCACTCCTCTGTCCGGAGCTGGACCGGTACCGCCTGGATTTCTGTGGCATTCAGGAGGTCCGGTGGACCAGTTCTGGCTCCTGCCACCACGAGGGGTGGACAGTCCTCTACTCGGGGCAGCAGACTGCCAAACAACAGGGTGTGGCTCTTCTTATGAACAAAAGAATGAAGGGGGCGTGGGAGCGTGGCGGTGAGGTGTGGGAAGCTGTAAGCCCCAGGCTACTTTGGGCTCGCCTTCCCATCAACCGGAGGCGAGGAATGGTGGTCGTGGTTACTTATGCCCCCACCGAAGATGAACATCCGTGGAGGGATGCAGGCAAAGCCGATGAGTCAGATGCCTTTTATGATCTCCTGTCACAGGTGCTGGCTAAAGTGGCCCCTCGGGATAGAGTCATCATGTTGGGTGACTTCAATGCCCGAGTTGGTCATGATACTGGCACCTGGTTTGGAGTGATTGGAGGGCATGGGCCAGATCAGCTCAATAACAACGGTAGGAGGCTGCTAGATTTTTGTGCAGCCCATGGGCTTGTAATTACCAACACGCTGTTCCGGCATCGGCGCATCCACACAACATCATGGATGCATGCCGGGTCCAAGCAAGAACATCTGCTGGACTACATAGTGACGGACCAGCGAATGCGAGCCCATGTCCTTGACACCAGGACCTACCGTGGAGCTGATCTGCCCTCTGACCATCGACTAGTCATCTGTAAGATGCGCCTGCCATTCTTCCACTCCGGTGGTGGGTGTACACCCAGGACCCCATTCCAACCTAAAGTGGCCTGGTCTCAGTTATCTGATGAAAGTTGCAAGCGAGAATTTCATCATCGCTTGCGGCTGGGATTGGCATTGTCCCCGACTCGTCCTGATGTCGAGGGTAAATGGGCGAGGTTTAGGACTGTGACTCATGCAGCTGCAATGGCTGCTTTGGGTACGCGGTCCAGACCTCCCCAGACACCCTGGATGACAGAGGAGTTGTTCAGGATGGTTGAGAAAAAGCGACAGGCCCACTGTCATCGGCTACAGAATCCCACGTCAGAGAATGAGGAGGCTTACCGCAGCCTTCGCTCGGAGGTTCGGAGAGCCGTGAGGCGCTGCAAGGATGGGTGGTGGTCGCGGGTTGCTGAGGAGATGGAGTCTGCCTCAGTGGCCCGTGATCACAAATCTCTATTTAACTCCATCAAAAAGTAACCTGCAGCGCCACACCTATTACCATCATTAGGGGAAAAAACGGTGATCCAATTTCCGACCCCCAGGAACAGGTTCGCAGATTTGCTGAGCATTTCTGTGAGGTCCTGGGGGAGGGAAAATCCCTCAGCCAGGAAAACATCGTGGCACAAAGTGAGGATGACCCTGCTGAGGCTGCGGTGCCTCGAATATTGGATGAAGTCACCCCCTGTGAGTGGCTGGCTGAGGTGCCATCTGCTGAGGAAGTATTGAAGGCGATCCGGAGTCTGAGACCAGGAAAGGCAGCGGGCAGAGATGATCTCCCAAGCGAAATGCTGAGGGAGGGTGGCGTTTGTGCACAGACTGCCCTATATGACATCATAACAACAGTCTGGACCACTGGACGGGTTCCGCAGGATTGGAAGGATGCCCTGGTGGTCCCCCTTTTTAAGAAGGGGGACCGCACAGACTGTAACAACTACAGGGGCATCTCACTCCTCAGTGTGCCGGGAAAGGTCCTGGCAAGGATTATTCAGCATCGCCTTGCCAGGCACGCTGAGGAGAGGCTTGCGGGGCCCCAATGCGGTTTCAGGAAAGGGCGGTCCTGCACAGATGCCATATTTTCTGTCCGTCTGCTACAGCAGAGGTGTAGGGAATTCCAACAAGACCTACATCTCTGCTTTATTGACCTGGTCAAGGCCTATGATACCATCAGTAGGCCTGGGCTCTGGGTCGTTCTTCGTGCTTTTGGAGTACCTGACCCTCTGCTCACGATCATTAAGGACCTTCATGAAGGTGAGCGGGCCCGGGTAAAACTACGTGGCCGGGAGTCAGAGCCATTCCCTGTACACCTTGGGGTGCGACAGGGATGTCCTCTGGCTCCCACATTATTTAACATCTATTTTGACCACGTAGTTCGTGAAGCCTTCAATCGCTGTACCGGGGGAATCTCCATATGGTACAGATATAATGGGAGGCTAATCGATGCCCGGGTGCGGTCAAGGGATGGCTCCCTATTGCTCAACCACGTTATGTATGCTGATGACTTGGTAATAGCTGCTCAGTCAGAGGAGGAGTTGGAGACGCTGCTGCTGAGACTGGAGCGTGCCACTAAGAGGTGGGGCCTTACCATCAGCCCCACCAAAACTAAGCACCTGCCTGGGTATTTTGTACCATCGGACACTCCACCCCCACAACTCCCAATCGGTGATGGGGCAGTTGTGGAGAGAGTGGAGAGTTTCCCATACCTGGGCAGTGTGCTTATGACTGGCTCCAGTTTAACAGCAGAGGTCTCACTCCGAATCAGTCGAGCGGCAATATCTTTTCATCGGTTGCGTAACGCTGTGTGGAAGCTACCTGGTCTGTCGCTCCGCACTAAGCTTCAGGTCTTCTTGGCCACGGTCATTCCCTCCCTTCTCTACGCTTGCGTAACGTGGACCCCCCTAATGGAACATCTTCGCCGGTTAGAAACATTTAGGCTGACCTGCCTACGATCCATCCTGGGTTTAACCAGACTGGATTGTGTGAGGAGCTTACAAATCCTTGAAAGATCTGGGCAGGGTCCCATCGGTGAGCTCCTCCGGCAGGCAAGGCTGCGATGGCTGGGTCATGTAGCCCGCATGCCCAGCCACCGCATGCCGAAACAGCTTTTGTTTGGCCGGATTGAGGGGGCTAAGCGGGCGCGGCACGGGCTAGAGAAGAGATGGAGTGATGTGGTACAGGAGGACGTGGAGCTGAGTGGACTTGCCGATGACTGGTACCAGCGGTGTCAAGATCGGCCTCTGTGGAGGAGGCTCGTGAAGGATGCTACTGGGCAGTTGGAGGCAGTCGCCCTCCAACAACAACGGAGGGCAGAGGAGCGACGCTCACAACAGCGAGCGGAGCGCCGGGTGGCTAAAGCACAGCAGGTTGGCACAGTAGGGGGCACAGGTGGTGCATCAGCCAGTCATCTCAGTCAGTCGACCCGTGGCACCTGGGTCTGCCCCGTGACCTCCTGCCAGCGGGCGTTCGACACTTCACGTGGCCTCAGGGTGCACATAGCCTGGCACAAGCGTCGTGGTGACGTCACCGCCACTTAGTGGCGAATGGCGGTTGTTGTTGTGTGTCACTGTGTGTGTCACTGTGTGTGTCACTGTGTGTATCACTGTGTCACTGTGTGTGTCACTGTGTGTGTCACTGTGTGTGTGTCACGGTGTGTGTGTCACTGTGTGTGTCACTGCGTGTGTGTCACTGTGTGTGTGTGTCACTGTGTGTGTCACTGTGTGTGTCACTGTGTGTATCACTGTGTCACTGTGTGTGTCACTGTGTGTGTGTGTCACTGTGTGTGTCACTGTGTGTGTGTGTCTCTGTGTGTGTGTGTGTCACTGTGTGTGTCACTGTTTGTGTCACTGTGTGTGTCACTGCGTGTGTGTGTCACTGTGTGTGTCACTGTGTGTGTGTGTGTCACTGTGTGTGTCACTGTGTGTGTGTCTCTGTGTGTGTGTGTCACTGTGTGTGTCACTGTGTCACTGTGTGTGTGTCACTGTGTCACTGTGTGTGTCACTGTGTGTGTCACTGTGTGTGTCACTGTGTGTGTCACTGTGTCACCGTGTGTGTGTCACTGCGTGTGTCACCTCCATGGCCTCCTGTGCCACGTCCGGCATGCCGCACTGAGGCACCAGTGACACCAAGCCGGTGATCAGCTCGGCCGTGCTAGCCTGGATCTCGTGACCCGCCTTGCCGGGGTTCTAGCGTCAACAACAATCAACAACAACAATCAACAACAACAATCAACAACAACAATCAACAACAACAACAACATCGACAACAACACAACAACAATCAACAACAACATAATCAACAACAACATAATCAACAATCAACATAATCAACAACATCAACATCAATAACAACATCATCAATAACAACATCATCAACATCATCAACAACATCATCATCATCAACAACATCAACATCATCAACAACATCATCATCAACATCATCAACATCATCAACATCATCAACAACATCATCAACAACATCATCAACAACATCATCATCAACAACATCAACAACATCAACATCATCAACATCATCATCAACATCATCAACAACATCATCAACAACATCAACATCATCAACAACATCATCAACAACATCATCATCAACATCATCAACAACATCATCAACAACATCATCATCAACATCATCATCAACATCATCATCAACAACATCATCATCAACATCATCAACAACAACATCAACCACAGCATCACAACATCCACCTCACCACATGGTGAGCAGCAGCAGATGTGGGTGTGAGTGAGTGAGTGGGTGAGTGAGTGGGTGAGTGAGTGGGTGAGTGGGTGGGTGGGTGAGTGGGTAAGTGGGTGAGTGAGTGGATGAGTGAGTGGGTGAGTGGGTGGGTGAGTGGGTGAGTGGGCGAGTGGGTGGGTGAGTGAGTGAGTGAGTGGGTGAGTGAGTGGGTGAGTGGGTGAGCGGGCGAGTAGGTGGGTGAGTGAGTGGGTAAGTGGGTGAGTGGATTAGTGAGTGGGTGAGTGGGTGGGTGAGTGGGTGAGTGGGCGAGTGGGCGGGTGAGTGAGTGAGTGGGTGAGTGAGTGGGTGAGTGGGTGGGTGAGTGGGTGAGTGGGCGAGTGGGTGGGTGAGTGAGTGGGTAAGTGGGTGAGTGAGTGGATGAGTGAGTGGGTGAGTGAGGGGGTGAGTGGCTGAGCGAGTGGGTGGGTGAGTGAGTGAGTGGGTGAGTGGGTGAGCGGGTGAGTGGGTGAGTGAGTGGGTGAGCGGGTGAGTGAGTGAGTGGGTGAGTGAGTGGCTGGGTGAGTGAGTGGGTGAGTGAGCGAGTGGGTGAGCGAGCGAATGAACGAGTGAGTGAGTAAACTAGTGAGTGAGTGAGCGAGAGAGTGAGCGAGTGAGAGAGCGAGTGAGCGAGCGACTGAGAGAGTGAGTGAACGAGTGAATGAACGAGTGAGTGAACTAGTGAGTGAGTGAATGAGCGAATGAGTGAGTGAGTGAGTGAACGTGTGAGCGAGTGAGAGAGCGAGCGAGCGAGAGAGTGAGTGAACGAGTGAGTGAACAAGTGAGTGAGTGAACGAGTGAACGAGTGAGTGAGTGAGTGAACGAGCGAGTGAACGAGTGAACGAGCGAGTGAACGAGCGAGTGAACGAGTGAGTGAACGAGTGAGTGAACGAGCGAGTGAACGAGCGAGTGAACTTGTGAGTGAACGAGTGAGTGAACGAGTGAGTGAACGAATGAACGAGTGAGTGAACGAGCGAGCGAGTGAGTGACTGAGAGAGTGAGTGAACGAGTGAGTGAACGAGTGAACGAGTGAGTGAACGAGCGAGCGAGTGAGTGAGTGACTGAGAGAGCGAGTGAACGAGTGAGTGAACGAGTGAGTGAACAAGTGAGTGAACGAGTGAGTGAACGAGCGAGTGAGTGAGTGAACGAGAGAGTGAGTGAGTGAACGAGCGAGTGAGTGAGTGAACGAGTGAGTGAATGAGTGAGTGAACGAGTGAGCGAGTGAGCGAGCGAGCAACTCACATGCAGCATGAGTCTGGGGTCTGCGTGGATGAGTTTCACGATGGACAGCAGGAGGAGTTTGTAGCTCAGAGTCTCAGAGTCGGAGGATTTCTCCTTGAACTTCAAACTGGACACTTTCTCTCTGAGCGTGAGGCTCTGGGGGTCACAGCAGCAGCAGCAACAGCATCGTCATCAGCAGCATCATCAGCAGCAGCAGCATCATCATCAGCATCATCATGATCAGCAGCAGCATCATCGTGATAATCATCATCAGCAGCATCAGCATCATCAGCAGCACCAGCAAAATCATCAGCAGCACCAACAACATCATCATAATCAGCAGCATCAGCAGCAGCATCAGCAACAGGGGAGATAGGGGCGGTGGAGGGGAATCAGCCGGTGAGTGAGTGGGTGGGTGAGTGGGTGAGTGGGTGAGTGGGTGGGTGAGTGAGTGAGTGGGTGAGTGAGTGAGTGAGTCAGTGGGTGGGTGGGTGAGTGGGTGGGTGGGTGAGTGGGTGGGTGAGTGAGTGAGTGGGTGAGTGAGTGAGTGGGTGGGTGGGTGGGTGAGTGGGTGAGTGAGTGGGTGAGTGAGTGGTTGAGTGGGTGAGTGAGTAGATAAGTGAGTGAGTGGTTGAGTCAGTGGGTGGGTGAGTGAGTGGGTAAGAGTGTGGGTGAGCGAGTGGGTGAGCAAATAGGTGAGCGGGTGAGTGGGTGAGTGAGTGAGTGGCTGCGTGAGTGAGTGGGTGGGTGAGTGAGTGAGTGGGTGAGTGAGTGGCTGGGTGAGTGGCTGGGTGAGTGAGTGGGTGGGTGAGTGAGTGGGTGAGCGAGTGGGTGAGCGAGTGGGTGAGTGAGTGGCTGAGTGAGTGAGTGGGTGGGTGAATGAGTGAGTGGGTGGTGAGTGGGTGGGAGAATGAGTGAGTGGGTGAATGAGTGAGTGGGTGGGTGAGTGAGTGGGTGGGTGAGTGGGTGGGTGGGTGGGTGAGTGGGTGAGTGAGTGGGTGGGTGAGTGGGTGGGTGGGTGGGTGAGTGGGTGGGTGAATGGGTGAGTGGGTGGGTGGGTGGGTGAGTGGGTGGGTGGGTGAATGAGTGAGTGGGTGGGTGAGTGGGTGGGTGAATGAGTGAGTGGGTGGGTGAGTGGGTGGGTGAGTGGGTGGGTGAGTGGGTGTGTGGGTGGGTGAGTGGGTGGGTGCGTGGGTGAGTGGGTGGGTGAGAGGGTGAGTGAGTGAGTGGGTGAGTGGGTGAGTGAGTGGGTGGGTGAGTGAGTGGGTGAGTGAGTGGGTGAGTCAGTGGGTGGGTGGGTGAGTGGGTGAGTGAGTGGGTGAGTCAGTGGGTGGGTGGGTGAGTGGGTGAGTGAGTGGGTGGGTGGGTGAGTGAGTGGGTGAGTGAGTGGTTGAGTGGGTGAGTGGGTGAGTGAGTGGGTGAGTGAGTGGGTGAGTGGGTGAGTGAGTGGCTGGGTGAGTGAGTGAGTGAGTGGGTGGGTGGGCGAGTGAGTGGGTGAGTGAGTGAGTGAGTGGGTGGGTGGGCGAGTGAGTGGGTGAGTGAGTGGCTGGGTGAGTGGCTGGGTGAGTGGGTGAGTGAGTGGCTGGGTGAGTGGCTGGGTGAGTGAGTGGCTGGGTGAGTGAGTGGGTGGGTGACTGGGTGAGTGAGTGGCTGGGTGAGTGAATGAGTGGGTGGGTGGGCGAGTGAGTGGGTGAGTGAGTGGCTGGGTGAGTGGGTGGGTGAGTGGGTGAGTGAGTGAGTGGCTGGGTGAGTGAGTGGCTGGGTGAGTGGCTGGGTGAGTGAGTGAGTGAGTGGGTGAGTGAGTGGCTGGGTGAGTGGGTGGGTGAGTGAGTGGCTGGCTGAGTGAGTGGCTGAGTGAGTGGGCGAGTGAGTGAGAGGCTGGGTGAGTGAGTGGGTGAGTGAGTGAGTGGCTGGGTGAGTGAGTGGCTGGGTGAGTGGGTGAGTGAGTGGCTGGGTGAGTGGGTGAGTGAGTGGCTGGGTGAGTGAGTGGCTGGGTGAGTGAGTGGCTGGGTGAGTGAGTGGGTGAGCGGGTGAGTGGGTGGCTGGGTGAGTGGGTGAGTGGGTGAGTGGCTGGGTGAGTGAGTGGGTGAGCAGGTGAGTGGGTGGCTGGGTGAGTGGGTGAGTGGGTGAGTGGCTGGGTGAGTGGCTGGGTGAGTGAGTGGCTGGGTGAGTGGGTGAGTGAGTGGCTGGCTGAGTGAGTGGCTGGGTGAGTGAGTGGCTGGGTGAGTGGGTGAGTGAGTGGGTGAGTGAGTGGGTGAGTGGGTTGTACCGTGGTGAGGCGTATGGGTGAGTGAGTGGGTGGGTGAGTGAGTGAGTGAGTGGGTGAGTGAGTGGGTGAGTGGGTTGTACCGTGGTGAGGCGTATGGGTGAGTGAGTGGGTTGTACCGTGGTGAGGCGTATGGGTGAGTGGGTGAGTGAGTATGTTGTACCATGGTGAGGCGTATGGGTGCGTGGCTGGGTGAGTGGCTGGGTGAGTGGGTGAGTGAGTGGCTGGGTTAGTGAGTGAGTGAGTTGGTGAGTGAGTGGGTGAGTGTGTTGTACCGTGGTGAGGCGTATGGGTGCGTGGGTGAGTGGCTGGGTGAGTGGGTGAGTGAGTGGGTGAGTGAGTGGGTTGTACCGTGGTGAGGCGTATGGGTGCGTGGGTGAGTGGCTGGGTGAGTGGGTGAGTGAGTGAGAGGCTGGGTGAGTGAGTGGGTGAGTGAGTGCGTTGTACCGTGGTGAGGCGTATGGGTGCGTGGGTGAGTGTGTTGTACCGTGGTGAGGCGTATGGGTGAGTGAGTGAGTGGGTGAGTGAGTGGGTGAGTGAGTGAGTGAGTGGGTGAGTGAGTGGGTGAGTGTGTTGTACCGTGGTGAGGCGTATGGGTGAGTGGGTGTGTTGTACCGTGGTGAGGCGTATGGGTGCGTGGGTGAGTGAGTGAGTGGGTGAGTGAGTGAGTGGGTGAGTGGGTGAGTGGGTGAGTGAGTGAGTGGGTGAGTGAGTGAGTGGGTGAGTGGGTGAGTGGGTGAGTGAGAGTGTTGTACCGTGGTGAGGCGTATGGGTGAGTGGCTGGGTGAGTGGCTGGGTGAGTGAGTGGGTGAGTGTGTTGTACCGTGGTGAGGCGTATGGGTGCGTGGGTGTTGCAGCCCTGCATGGCGCGGCTGAGCGTGTCCGAGAACATCGCACGGAGCTCGCCGGAGTAGCAGTAGACCACGTCGATCTTGGGCCACCAGTCCAGCGGAGACTGCAGCACAACAACAACAACAACCACCACAACAACAACAACAACAACCACAACAACAACAACAACCACCAGTCATCACTCACTCACTCATCCACTCACTCACTCACTCACCCACTCACGCACTTATCCACTCACTCACTCACTCATCCACTCACTCACTCATTCATCTACTCACTCACTCATCCACTCACTCACTCATCCACTCACTCACTCACTCACCCACTCACTCACTCACTCACCCACTCACGCACTTATCCACTCACTCACTCACTCATCCACTCACTCAC